GCCAGCGACGACACCGCAGAGTCCAGGTCACATGACTCACTGCCCAGGACGACGTGCACTCTCTGGTAGCCATGGAAACTGGTCTGGGGGAGGAGAGATTGGTTTAGTGAAGAACATGACCCTGTCTTTCACTGAAACCTGCAGTATGTGAAGTTCTCCTCAGGAACCTTCATCTTCACTTTAATGACACAAATCAAATATTTGGATATTTGATTTTGGTTCTGCGCGGTCTGAAGTTCACTGAGCGCGTGCAGACGGCTGACACATTTAACCTTCGTCTCTCTGTCTGTCTGTCTGTCAATATTTGCTTCCTGCCCTGTGTCCTCAGGTGTCCTCAGGTGTCCCGTCCTGCTGATAGTGGAGCCACTCGAACAGACTCTTCCTCACACTGACAGGATGCTGCATCTGTTAGCGATCGCATTAAAAATGAGTAACTTCCTGTTTACATTGTTGGTTGCTTCTGATTGGACGCTGCTACAGAGGATTCACTCTGAAGTGTTAATATTTATTTGTGTTCAAACTGAATCATCATCTAATGAACCAGAACAGATCCTACAAAATAAGAGTCAGTTCGTTCTGTCAGTAATTAACTCTGCAGCTGTGTGTGTGTGTGTGTGTGTGTGTGTGTGTTTGTTTTATTAGATTAGAAATGTCTATTTACACACACACACACACACACCTACACACACACACAGACACACACACACAGAGCTTTGTGTTGAAATAAGAAATTGTCTCTCTCACCTTCACTGCAGCTCTGCTCGACACCAGGAAGTCGTTCATCCTGTTTGTTTGCTTGTTTGTTTGTTTGTTTGTTTGTGTTCCTCTGTGATCCACACACTCGCACTCAGATCAGACTCTCAGCTGACTGCTGATCTCAGGACAATATCGTCCTCTGTCCTCCACCTTCAAATCACATTTCAAACAGCAGCACTTCCTCTCAGACCTATCAAAATAAAACCTCTTAAGTCAAACTAAAACGTTTTGCCGACCTTTAAAAAATCTTTTGTGGAGCTAATTTACTTTTTATCTTTAAAAACTTAAATCTTTTAGAAACATTAATTGAATTTTCATTATTCCTGTTACAGACTTTTTTTGTGTGTTTTACTGAAAGATTTTAATTAATTAGTTTCAAAAAATTTTTTTTAAATACATTTATTTGTTTTTTCAGTGTAAATTCTCATTATTATTAGTTTATTTTTAAACTTATTTAATGAAATGATGAGATTATATTTAGTGCGAGATTCATATTATAAGGAGGAACTCTTCTCTGATTTCTGTCTCTGTACATGAGAGCAGATCAAACTTATATAACATATTTATAATATAAAGATAGTATAAATATAACACATAACGTACATATAATACAATAAAATAAAATAATGAAACATGTGAATGTTCAAGTTATATCCTACTTATTCATATTGATACATATATTATATATTTATAGTTTATACACACTGCATACCCTTTACATAATATACCCATATTATTTTATTTTATAATATACATTGTGCTTATTATTCATAAGTTATACTTTACAGATATCCTGTTCAGTTATATACCAGCCTTTCTCTCTAGATTTCCTTATATATACACTTCTATGCCGATGACACACAATTATATCTCTCCTTTGACACTAATGACAGATAACTTAAACAACCTTCACTTGTAGATCGTAGATCAATAACTGGACGCCATCTAATTCTTTTCTGTTTTACAGTTAAATACTGTATAAATAAATACACTGTAAATACTTGAGTAAACTGTCTTCATTACATTTTTTAGCTTAAAGTGAAACTCAGACTCTTAAGTTTGGAAATAAACTCTTAATAATGATAATTATTAGGAATCTACTAATATAGTAAATAAATAATTTACTTTTCTTCTTTAGAAAAACATTAATCATTAGAAACAAAAATATTCTTATTTAAAACAATGTTTAGAAAACTTCAATCATTTAATGTTAATTGAAACAAATTTATTTTCACTGTGAACAATTATTGAAATGCTGATTTTCCTGTTTTGTATTTTTAAAGAAGAAAAAATTATAAATGTTCGGCAACACTCTTTTAGTTTCTTTCAAAATCTTAAAGTTTGACTTTTGACTTAAAACATTTAAAACTTTGCCTTTAAATTTTTTGTTTTCTCAACTTTTACAATATATTATTATTTAAATGATATTTATGTTGTACAATTACAATTATATTTATTTAGACTGCAACTACCTCTTATAATCTATATAGTATAATGCTCAAACCATGTGTGTATTCAATAATATGTGCAATTATCAATCAAACATATCTGTGTATATAGTATACAGTGCTTCTATTATATCTTATATTTTGTATATTAGTTAGTATTAGTATTTCAAGTAAAAGTAACAGAGGATTATATTTGACATATTATAATAACAGTGCATGAAAGTAACAGATAAAGACAACTTTATTCAGCATTCATAACAGTTTTTTACAACTTTTACTGTCCACTGCAGCAAAACCTCAAGAAAACCCAAAACATTTTCACTTCTTTAAATAAAATCCATCAGGAAACAGTTGGGTCTGAATTGACACTGTTAGGGTTAGGGTTACACCAAAAAGTAAAATACATTACTGTCTTTTTTATGTTTAATTAAAGATATTTACACTGTAAAAACAATGAGCTGTAAATACAGGTGAACTCTGCTATAATACAATAATCAGACTTACATTTACAGCAGAGTGCTGTTATTATTGGATTGTTATTATTTTAATGTGAATGTTAAAAGTTATAGAACTGTAACTGAATAAAGTAGTATCTGAAATACAGTAATTATTTGCTGTTTAACACTTGATAATAAACTGTATTTGGCAGTATTACCAATGCTTTATACACTAAAAAACATTTATTCAACTTCCATCATTATACAAGATATCTGTCAGCAACTAATAATACATCTAAAAATACCAACTAACAATTTTACTGGTTAATTGTCACAAACTTGACTACGGCCATTAGAACTGTATTAACAAGTATTAAACATTGAATAACAGTCTTAATCTATTAAATAACAGTACAATAGGTTCTGAAAACAAGAAGATTTCTGCTGAATGTATTTTAATCTTTGATATAAAGATGTGGTATTTTACTGGATAAAGTTTACTTATAATTGAAGACTTATTAAGAATATAATTGTCATGTTGGTTTTATTCAGACGTGTAAACCAGTGGAAGATTACTGGACTAACTGGGATTAATGGCAGGGTTGTTACTCACAAGCAGCATTGTTTTATAATACCGAGCTTCGGGGACGGCGGGCAACACTGACGCAGCTCATATCTGAATTCGTCTCAACTCGGTGGCGTTCAAGTATAATCACCATGTTAAGACCCAGAGGGCGCAGTCGCGCGCGTGATCTGAATATACCCGCAGATGAGCGCCACCGCCGCCAGAGAACCGTAGAACTAATGCTTCAAACAGACTGGTCGAACTACACAAAGCGTAAAAGTTGGAGACAGAGCCGAATGGGTGGTCTTACTATACATCTAAAGATTTTTTTTTAGCCCTTTTATTTTTTGTAAAATAATCAGACGGAAGGTGTCGGGAGATAACAGCTGCAAATAGTAGTTAGAGTAGAGGTACTGTCTCTACCCGACAACCCAGAACCATTCACATTCTGTCTTCCAGCTGCGGAGTAATAAACTGTGTGATATATACCGCGCGTAAGCATCAATTTCTCATCTTTCTCACATTATATCATTCGGCTATTGTTTAAACACAACCACCCTTCACGGCCCACCCTTCAAACTTGCTCATCAGTGGCTAGAATGGCAAAAGCGAAGTGATATTTTATTTATAATGCGAGCTGTTTGGACATAAAATATACGCGAATTAACAGCGTCCCTAACGAAGGTCGCATGGATAAGCAAAGCTGCAAGATTATGTGAGGTTATGCTGGTAAACCAAGTCTTTAAATCGCCGATATATTAACGAGTTTGCGTGGTATTGCCGTAAGCTGATTCGGATGGTAAATGATGACCCGCCCACCGGCCCCTTGATTGCTGTAATCGTGGTTGATAGGTGAAATGAACATTAGCGCAATCAAGGCGATGGGCGGGTCTGACGTCACTAATGGGCGAGAGTCAGACCGTCATGTGGAGCAAAGACAAACAGACCGGAGTCAGTGGCAGAGTCGTGTTATTAACTCTGTGAGCTTATATTAACACCGTGTGTGGTAATCGTGGTTCCCGCGGAAGAAAAGCTGTTTTAAAAGTAGTCTACGACTTGGATAAAGTTTGACCGGATGTGACCGGTCGGTGGCGTGGCCTGTCGCTCTGAGTTACGGAGGAGCGGAGCCAAATGAACAGCTAGCTGTTACAGCTAGCTAACGAAGCAGAGTCGTACTGTGCGCAAGTATCGCGGTACCAGGACCCGTGCGTGTCTGGTAAAAATGATCTTATTAACGACTGTTGTTCGGTGTGAGCGAGAGCTCATACTCATATCGCCGTCTGTTGTGGAACAGAGCTAACTAGAAGAATGCTATGCTGGCGCTAAGACAGAACAGACGAGCTGCTTTAAGCTAACTGTCCTCTCTTCCTCATCTCCTCGATCTCTCTCGCGTCTCATCCCTGTCTCGCTCGTCTGTTCTCCTGGATTCTCTCCTCGTCCTCTCTCTCTCTGGTCTATCTCCCAGTACTCTTCGATCTAGTCTGTCTGTCTCCTGCTCTCTCTATCCTTCCTGTTCGTCTCCTCTTCGCTCGCGCTCTCTGTCTGGTCTTGTCACTAGATCATCTGTTGTAATCAAGTTCTCCCAATCATCCCGATCTGTCACTCTACTCCTTCTCTCGTCTCTGTCATCTTAGTATCCTGTCCTCTCCCTGTCTAATTTGATCTCATCATATCATCTCATGATCTCTTACTATCTCTCCTCTCTGTCTCGTCTCTATCCTCTGCACAATCATTCCTCTGTCTCCTCCGTCGTGCTCTCTCTCTCTGCAATCCTCTCTCTGGTCATCATCTCTTCTCAAATGTCTCGATCCTCTCCATAACGCTCTCGTATCCAATCTCTGATCGTCATCGCTTCAAGATTCCCTCTTTGGTAATCGCCTTACTCTCTCAAGGCTCAAACAACTGGAACGATAAGTGTAGACAGTATCGTTAGGCCCATTACTTGCTCCCTCTTTCAGCTCCCCTCTCCTCTCGTCTCATCTTCTCATCTCTCTCTCTCGTTCTCATCAATAAATCGCTCATCCAATGTGGCGTTTTCATCTCTTCTGTCGATCATCCTCGCTCGTCATTGCTCTCGATCTCATCATCCTCTCTCCAGATGCTTCTCTCATGTCTCTCTTCTCTCTCTCGGGTCGCGCATGATATCAGAAACCGATCTTCAGGAGCTCGCTGCTCATCTATCCTCTCTCGATCTCTCTTCCTGGGATCCTTCTCTGTCTCCCTCCTCCACTCCTAATCCTCTCGTGTTCTTCATCCTCTGATCTCACTCACGCTGATCCTTCTCCTGTCTCCTCCATCCCTTCTCTCTGGTCCTTCATCGATCATCTGCAGCCTATCTCCTCTCCTGCTCATCTCTCTCTCTCTCTCTCATCACTCTCTGTTCATCCTTCTCTCTCCTGCTCCCTCTGATCTCCTCCTCTCTCGTCTCCTCCTGTTCTCTCTCTCTCAGACACTCTCATATAATTGACGATAAAAAAATCATAGGGATAAAGAATATGGCATATAATAACTTTTTTTGATTGTTCTTTTGCGTCGTCATAATCTGTACATAACACGGGATCAAAAAACTCTCGCTGTGGGATCTCTCAGCATCATCTCTTCTCATCACTCTCGTCTCTCTCTCCGTCATCTGTCAGTCTCGCCATCTCATCAGGAAAATGGACGTGTCAGATCTCGATCCGATGTCTCTCATCATCTCCC